GACATCAGCCTTGGTCTTGTTGGTCAGCTCCATGATGTACTCGGCGTTGGTCTCCATCATGTGCTGGAGAATGCGGAGATCGACAACGGCGCCCAGGTTGTCCACGTTAGACAGGAAGATGATCTCGATGCCTCGCTCCAGGAGCTTGTCGAGGATGCCCGAGTTGTACAGAGACTCGAAGACGTCACCATGGCCAGGGGGGTACCACTCGTTGATGGAGGAATCAAAGCTCTTGGGGACGGGGAGCAGAGAGTCCTTGTAGATTCGGGGGTATCGGGACTGGTTGAAGGTGAGGATATCCACGTTATGGCCCTCGTACTTCTTGATGATGGCGGCGGTGTCGTCGTTGGTGTTGAACGAGTTCATCAGGATAAAAGGCACGTTGACGTCGTAGGTGCGGTTAAGGAACTCGATCTGTCGCACGGAAAGGTCGAGGAAGGACATGCCGTCACGGACCTCGATGACCGACTTGGGACCAACGCAACCCATCGAGGTACCGAGACCACCGTTGAGCTTGAGGACGGCCAGCTTGTTCAGGAACTGGACCGACTCGGTGTTGGCAAGGTCCTCGTAGTCGACGACCTGGCCCTGGGCGGGAGGAGCAATGCGGTCCCAGTCACTATGCGATCATCAGCAACTAGCTTGGATATACGTTTCGTTGGGGGGTAAAGCATACACGGCGTTGCCCTTGGCCTTGTCGTTAAGGTACCGTCGGAAGAGGGCGAAGAAGTTGTCCATCTCGGTATCGAACAGCTGCGAAGCGGTCAGCACATGTTGGCGAAGCCATGGTCACCGCTCGCAACTTGCCTTCTTCTGCTCGGGGTCCTTGACGCTCTCGGCGAGGTTGGTCAGAGCATTTCGCATCTGAGCGGCAGCGACGTTGGTCGAGGTGTTCTCGAAAGCCTGGGGCATGGTGTGTTAGTTGATTTTGAGACTCGCGTTTATTTCGTTGGTTGCGTGGGAATTGGTGTTTCGAAGGGGTGCGGATAAGGGGCGGTGATGGAAGCTCGCGATCATGAGCAGCGAGGGCAGTGAATCGTTGCCCCATCATTTTCGGCTTTTGCAGAGTAGCTTTGAAGTCGAGAAAGTGACAGAACGTCGATTACGCCGTGTGCGGTTGTGAATGCTCGTGAACGACGTTTGGTGACTGGGAGCTTCAGGGGGCGCATGGACAACCAGGCCTTATCATCGCCAAAGCAACTGCCCAAGATGTTGCCCTTGTCACTGGTCCCCCCCTGAATTGAATCGTAGGACGTCTCTTGAAAGATTCGCAGAACTGAGGAATCTGGAGGGCAATTCAGAACTCACCATGTGACTGCGCGTCTTGCCATGACGGCGCTCAAAGAGCTGATCATCACTGCCACCGTGAGGCTTCAGGTGGGTAGGCAGCGCGCTCTTGATTGCACTGGCCATTGTGACGGTTACAAGAGATGCAGGAGGAAGTGGAGAAACAAGCTGTTAGGCTTCAAGAGGAGCAAAAATGTGAAGAGCAAAAAAAGGCTCAAAAAAGGAGGATGAGGATGGAGGATGTCGAGTTCAAGTTTGGGTCAGGAATGACGGAAGGTAAAGGAGGGAGGAGGAGAATGGATTGGATGCGGGGCGGTGATGCCCGTAGCTCAGCAGCAAGCAGAACTGGAAGGTGTTGGTGGGGGTGGCGAGGCCGAGGGTCGACAAAATAAGATGAACAGGTGGAAAAAGGCGCGGTCCAAAGTGCCACAGTATCAGTGGCGGATAGTTCTCCTGTTTCTTTCTCCTTTTGTCCAAAGGCGGGTTACGTTGGGGAGAGAGGCAACTTTTTGGGCGACAGGTCAAGTTATGATGGATGGATTCTAGCTCTGGGGCGTTAGCTGTTGAGCTGGCACGCAGTGTTGTTGTGTGCTATTTTGTCTTTGTTAACGTCGGGGGCTTGGCAATTGTAATGTCTCATCATGATATGCCTACGATTGAGGGAATGGAGGCTTTTGTTGTTTTGTTTCTACTCACCTTGTTGGACGCTGTCTGGTTGGAGAGGATAGGGGATGAAGCTATGATTTGTGTCACAGAGAGGGAGACGAGGGAGATATAAATATAAACAAAACACACCAGGTAGGCTCAGGCAACTGGGAATGGGGGCATGTCCTGTTTCTCCTTTTTTTTTTTTCTTAGTATTAATGGACATCGTATCTGGGATCTCGTCGTAATGATTAATTTCTGGTCTTGCCTTGGACATGGGGAGCAACCCCACCACTTGCACCAGCGATCTCCCTCGGTGGCGTGCCAACCAACCAGGGTCTGGGTCAAGAGGAAGTTCGGGATGAAGGCCGTGAAAGAGTCTTCAGCCGAGGACTAGATGGATGCACGACGTGGATGGAACGGAAGCAGGAGAGAGGTTTGTGGTGGATATCATGATGGGCGGCGAACCACTCAAGCCAGTATCTACGATACTGTTGCTCTGCTGCATGTGGCTGCAGTAGTTACCCGGTATCCATCGCCATCATGATATCCGATCCATTGCTGACCGGACCTTGTTGGTGGCGGCGTCTACTCGAGGCGAACAAACCGCTCACCTACTATTGTCGGTGGGAGAAATCTCGCTCCCGGTTCACTACTACGTAGTACGCCACTGACCAACGAAACAAAATCTGGTTTCATCCTCAACGAGCTTGTTAAGCTGTTCCATTCTTAGTACAGTACAGGTGTCATGAAGTCCCGCCTTTTCAATGTCGACCTAAATTAAGGCCCAAGCTTCCAAGTTCCCAGGACCCAGGTCAAAGCTCCCCATCGCCAGGCATGCCAGGCGGCTCTTGGGCCCCATATCTGTCGTTTATCATTGGCCGGGTAAAGCAAACGAGGAGTAATCCAGTCTGTCTGGGCCCCGGCGAAATGAAGTGAAGCAGAGAGTGGATAGGCATGCGAGTGAGTGAATGGACAAACTCGAAGACTTGTAGGTCGTTAGTGCCATCTCCCGGTCGATCTCCCTGCGAACCAGTTGTCGTTGTCTTTCTCTACCATGTGAAGAAGACATGGCCAGGGATACATTCACTCTCGCCTGAGTGAGGCTGTGATAATTAATCACTTGGGCAACATCGGTCTCGTTCATATCGCCTCGAGACACGGACCGGAACTCTCTCGGAGGGGGGTTGGTTGGCCTGGACGACAACCATCCCATCCCATCTCTAAGCGCCTCTCCCGTTCCGTTCCGCTGCGGCAAAACATCTCTTTCTCTGTGTGTGTATGCGCGCTTTCATCCCTTTTGCCACGTGGGCCCGGCATTGGACACAAGCCGAACTGTCAAGTCACATCATGGATGTTGGCCGACGTGCATAACCGATTTGAGTTGTTTTGACAAAACGAAGGGAAGCATTCACACACTCACTCACAGGGTAACAATGGCAAGGCCAAGTCCATAAAAAGCAACCTGGTAGAGCCAAGACTCTCCCCAGCCTGTTATCGTCTGCAACACAACCTCCACTGCCCATGAGCCGGGCCTCGGACCCGCCAGTGCATCATCATCCACCAATCGAAGCTGGCAAGCATAGGTTTCAACGACGCTGCCTCCAAAGTAGAAACTTGATGCCATCTCTACAAACGTGTTACACCTTTGTGCAACCCCTTCTAGGTGTTTTACTCCAAGTTTTGCTTCCTGTGTATCTACCACAATGACGAGAGATACAAAGAGTGCTTGGCCATGTTCATGCCATCTGCAGCCCTGTGGAGAAGGAGAAGAGCCGGCCGCCGTCATGTGGGAAAAACGGACCGTTTTCTCCCCCCACGTAAAACGGTTGTTCGGCTTCGAGAGCTTCACGCCTCGTCATCGCAGGCAGACGCCATCATCAATAAAAAACATTGTATGCTCACCGACTTGAAAAAAAAAAACGGTCCATCGTCGTCTAGACTTACCTCTGACTCGATATCTTTTGCCCCTGAGGACACGCCGGCCGGCTTATTGCAACTGACGGGGTGCTGTCCCTTCACACTGGGATTCCAGAGATCATAAATCCTTCGGTGCCCAAATCTCACCGTAACTTGAATCCTTTAAACTCATCTCATCACTTTGTTTATCTTGCAAGGCACGAAAATGGGCAGCGCAGAGACTCTTCAGTATTGGAACTACAACATCCCCGAGGACGAAAGGACGGATCAGTGTCCCGACTTTCTCCAGAACCTCTCAACCAAGGACGTCGGCATCCTCTCGACCCCAGACTCCGAATTCCACGTCCTCTCCTGGGACGAGGTCCGCCAGATCGTCCAGTCCAACCGGCTCGAGGTCTTCAAGCGCGTACCCTCTGCCCTGCGCCGCTACAAGGCCTTTGTCTTCTATCTCAAGAAGAAGCACGGCAGCGTCGCAAACTTCATCCTCAACCAGCGGCTAGGCTGGTCTGCCCCTGTGGCGCCGCGCGGCGCCCCCTTTGAGTTTGAGGATGATTACAAGATCCTCCACAACGATGCGCCATACGGAATAGACCCCAGGATCGTCCACCTCGTCGTGTGGACAAAGTTTGACCTTGTCGAGGACCCTGCCACGGGGGACCTGGCCGACGGGGCGAGGCAGGAGATTGATGACTTTGTGACGACGACGTTTCGGACAAATGTCCCTAATGAACATGTGATAACTCAGATCTAGCCTTTGTAAGGAATGAATACTGACGAGAACAGGTCATGTGGTTCAAGAACTGGCGGGCTTTGCAGTCTGTGAATGCCGTCAGGCACTTTCACGTCATGCTGTTTGATCCAGATCCCGACTTCATCCGCGTCGTCACGAAAGGAGACGTTCCTCGCTGTGGTTTAAAGATGGAATAGATGGAAAGGCGCAGGTGTTTTTCATACGTTGGTTTGCGAATTCGTCTCATTTTCGTGTAGTATAGTTGAGTTTCAGGGGTGTATCGGAGCAAAACATATCAAGCAGTGTACACAAGTCATTTTTTCTGTTCAGATTTCATATCTCTATGCTTCAATTAGATTGCTTTTCCCTGGATCTTTTCGTCTCTCTCGACTTATTCCGTCTAGATCTCATTCTTCATCTAATCAGTCTTGACATCCTCCGTCTTGACTGTCAACTCGACACAGGCTGCATCGGCAAGGGGCACGGCGGTAGGCTTCTCCAGTCCAATTCGAATGATGGCACCATAAAACTCCTCACGCTTGGATCGCAGCTGCTTGGCAACCTGCACCGAGAGGTCTGCTGCCAGAGCCTCCAATGTTTCATACGACGACGCGATCATGGCCTGTGAACTGTAAGCTTGCGACTTACTCGCTCTGACATCGGTATACTCACATCGACCACCACACTCTCGAGGACAGCATAGTCATCGTACATGCTCTCATACTCGTCTATCCGTACATTCGCTATGACGACTTGCTTGGCGAGGCGCTCGTTGCTGTTGACACCGATGAGTGTCGGAACCCGAAGACCTTCCAGGCCGAGCTCCAGGCTCCGCGTTGTGGGTGATGAGTTGCTGAAGAGGGCAGATCCAGAGAGACGAATTGCACTCCCCATGAGTGACGCCTTGGGGAGGACAAGTGAGATGGTCAGTCGACGAATGAAGGTGATGTCTAGGAACGACTTCGATTCGCTTGCCGAGGGTCCTCTAAGCCCGTTGTAGCGGAACCCGGTGAGATCGATCCAGAGCTCATTCAGGACATCGCTCAGTGACAATCCCGACTTGGGGAGGCGACCAAGGGTGCTTAGGATGGCTTTGCTGAGTAGCCCGTAGTGCACCGTGTCCGAGGCGACCTTGTCGTCGGCAGACGACGTCCCAAAGGGCTGGGTGAGCGAGACTTCGGCCGATACCAGGAGAGGCTGCTGCTTGGCCCCACGGCCCCAGGCGTCCTTGGGACCTTGAATGGTTGTCTGAAGGTTTCGCACTCGGACAACGGCGACGGGGTCTCCCTCTTCGTTGGAGAGTCGTCTGAACGACACGATGGGGGCTTCTCCAGCCATGTTCGATGGTGGTTGAGGGGTCGGCTTTTGTTGGTTTGGCTTGGATAGATGTGCCTGTGGGGTTGAGGCTTTGGCTAGTCCTCTTTGTGATGTGTGAGTCTTTTGCTTTGTCGATCAGTTTCTTCTTGGATATGATCAAGTTGTCGAGAGTTGATGTCACTGAAGACTTTGGGGAGAGTGAGGCTAAAATGAGAGTCAGTGGCGGGGCAAAGGCAATCCACAGTCACCATACAGCCATCCATTCCAAAAGCTTGTCACACCAAGTGATATCAATGGCAAATCCCCATCAAACTGCAAACAATACTGATAATTCTCGTTCAAAACACATATAATCACTCATTAGTGCTTGTTGACAATCAAGTCATTCACCCACCTATTCCTGACCAAGACCACCGGTGAAGCCGCCTACCCTGGACCATTATCGAGACGTCCAGGATGGGTGCAAAACTCAGCAGAGAAATATCAAGAAAACTGGTCAGAGGAGGATTTATTGCGGCTATATACTGCTGCTCAGTGATCTGAGGCGTTCATTCGATGCAAAGTAATTAGTTTGCTCAAACTGTGCCATATCTAGTTACTGCTCACAGTTGGCTTAAGACACTTATGACTCCGGTTTGAAGAGTTGAGTTTGGTAGCATTTCTAAATCTGTTTCCACAAATATAACCTCCAGTGTCCAATGCCAATGAACAATATAATATGCAACATCTTAATCCTCCGCGACCCGACCCGTGAGAGTTCGTCGGCGATAGATTGCATACTCTCCGAGCCAAGATATCTCAAGACACCCAGTCGCATCCTTCCCGGAAGGAACACACAGGGTTGCATTTTTTTCACTCCTCCGTACACTCCTCGTCCTGGCACGAGCGTCCTGCAAGGACCAATGCGCTCGGGCATCCTGTCGTATGAGGAAACACATGTTTCCCCCTCCCTATCTCTTGGGCTCCGAGTCGTTTCTGGAACACGTCTACTGCACCTTGCGATCGACCTTCTCTGCGTGGTTTAACGCGACCGCGTGGGGGATCTTTTCCAAAAAGACGCGCACGATTCGGTTCCAGTTGGTCGGGCTCCTGGTAACCACACGGAAGTCGAGCCTGCAGACGCGGTTCAACTGAAGGCCAAACCAGGAAAAACCCGCCGTCTCAGGCTGGTTGCCCAGGGGTCCACGGGACCCAGACACGGCATCTCTCGACAAGAGATTCGGATGGCAGGTTGAAGTTGAGATGATACTCGGTTGCCCAACCTATAGCCTCCATCTCCATAACGGGCCGTTTAACAAGTCGAGCTCGTTCCGCCAAGACCTGAAGATGCCAAGATAGGGCATGGTCGCGACCAAAAGATGAAACCCAACTCCAACCGACTGCCAAGCCAAGACATGGGTTCACTGACAACAGATCTTGTCCCTGCCTCGAAACGAAAGACGATGGCACCATCCAAGTGCAACATCAATCGCAACATCAGGCCCCATCTCGGGCTGTTGGTAAACTTCGACCTCAAAACCTGAACGCCAAGAATGCTTCTATCCTCAGGTCTGAGGCCTGAACGGAGCGGCTGCAACAACGTAGTAGTTCCGCACTCTCTCGTCCCGACATCCGTAATTTGCGACTGTTAGAATGCGGCCGAGTGGCGTTGACTATGCTCGGAACAGAGAAATAACGGCTTCAACCGCTTCCTTGCCGTCAATACACGAGCAAGCCTTTTTCGTCCACATACGGCAACACTAGCCCCAGCCTCATCGGAGCTGTGTGCCTGCAACTCCGATGCCTTGCGACGCAACCCGCAACAGTGAAGCACAACGTCGTTCTGGAAGAGGGGCATCTTGAAACCCGGCATGGGTATACCCAGGCAGCCTTCTCTATTAGGTTTGCCTGTCAGTGCTGTGCCCTGAGTTCTGCTGCCCCCCCTTCGGACGGAGCCCGCCTTGGCCTCGCAAGCCACCCCTGGAGCTGGACCTCAACGGCGATCGCAAACCTGGATGGCCTCAAGCACTCCAGGTTTACTAGATGATGCTTGACGCCAAAAATGGTTGTGAATTCTCAGTTGATCTAGCTCAAACGCTCCCGGCGTTGAAACCAAATCCAGCTAGCCTCCCGGAAGACCCATGGGTCTCATCAACACCAACCCCACGACTAGGTATGCGGGACGTGCCTGAGTCGGTAACCAGCCAAGCTGTTCTTGGCCTTGGTGATGTTGTGCGTGGAGTCTGGGGACCGTGCCACACGTCGCGTCTTCTAGAGAACAGTAGGTTCGGTGGTTCTAGTGATTGAACCCGTGTCCGTTGTTTCAGTCCTTTGAATCACCTCGCGGCAATGACATCAGTGCCCTTACTGACACCCAAACTTCGTCATCCAATCCTCTGTTCCGCCCTGTATAAGTCCTAGCTTTTCCTAAGTCGGTGCAGAGTAGGGCCCGGCGCAGAATGATCGAGTTGACCGCTCGCAAGAACCCCTGTCGCGCCCAGACAGGTGCCGCAGAGTATCATGCAGGTTCTTTACCCGTCGTGCATGTCAAGGAATGAAATCCAATCTTGCGCTCTTGTCGGCTGAATTGAGTGAAATTTGCTCCAACAGCACGCCAAGAGACTTTGGGGAACTTGCCGATAATCGCAACGTTTTTACCCACCACAGCCTTGTGCTTATGAGCTGTGGATCTCTTGCCAAGGGGCAATGTAACGGTCAAGTCTTTCACGTCCAAATCGACATCGCTTCCGAGCGGCGGCGGGAGAGTCAAGGGCTGAAGGCCGGGGTTTGCATAGAGGCTAGTGGTGTCCCATGTTCATCAAAGTTTCCCGACAATTGGATCATACCACCATTGGTGGCATTGGTAGGTCCGCCCTCACCTCTCCGAGCTTTTTGTTCTCGGTCGTTTCGGGCATTACTATAGGGGACTATTGGCGGCGAAGAACTCCTTGAAGGCAACTTTGCGCTTTGTGTAAGTGAGGGTTGCTCGACATGTTACACTGCCCTGTGCTGTTCTCTGATAAGGTCAAACTCCCTGTATCATGAGCTCTGGGGGTCACTTCAGCCTAGGAATTGAACTTGTTCCACCACACAACAAACTTGGCATTGACAACTGGGACAGGGTTGAGACTTGAAGGCTTCAGCGCTACTGGTAAGCTTCTGGAAGGGAGATGAATGGAAATGGACAAAGCGCCACACGTCCATAAAGGGCATGTGAGCCGTGACTATGTCAAAGTCTTTGTCACCGGCCCAGGCTCTTTCTATGCAGGGCGTTTCGGAAAGAGATCAAACCCCGACATCGATCAGTGACTCCGGAATTGTTGAGGCATCTTGCTGTGCTGATGACCGACACTTGTCGGCCTCACATGTTGTCTTTTCAAATTATTCTGACGATCGAAGTGCCGAATGGGTGTAAGAGAGGCAAGCTAAAAGGAAGAATGCGGGGAAGATGATGGATGGAGGGTGTTAATCAAAGTCTGCAGAAATGATGCTGGCTCTCATTGACAACCATCGGAGCCTCCCGGGCCCTTTTGTCCGCCGGACTCAAACAGCCCAAGAATAGCTGTGGACTCTGGCGAGGGTCTGATAAGCGGGCCGACAACGAGTTGGTGCAACATCCGTCTTTCGCTCGGATCTTCAGGAGGTTTGTCGACGAGCAGTATAGAGAACGGGAGTTTCATCCGGCCTTCTTACGCGTTCAAAAGACAGCGGGATGTGTCTCGTTCGGCCGAGTTGTTAGCACATGGCTAGCCGTTTGGCTTCTCCCGCATGTGTCTTGGGCACGTCGCAAGAAAGGACCCGAAGGGACAGAAAAAGAAAGATGACACACCACCAAATTCTCCAAGTTGCAGCGGAAGTGGCTGACAGTTGACCGGGGAGTGACATGACAGACCTTCTGGCCCAGGCCGGCCGGGGGATGCCAGGTACCTGCATCAAGAGTGTGGCACACCAACTTGCCGTTGTCGGTCAATCAACGCCTTTGTTTTTGTTGGGGATGGTCGACTTTGACCTGCTTAATTTCTCGCTTTCGATTTCAGGTGCAGATGCGACATATCAGCTTGGAGTCTCCTCCGTGTGAAGCTCCTCTATGTGAAGGATGCTGAGGAGAAGATGACCTGATGTGATGTGATCATCATATGTAAGCTTGCATCGGGTTTGGGCAAAAGGAACAATACGACCAGAACGGCAACTCGGCGGCCTTCGATCACCAACCGCTGGAGATCTGCAACCTGGGCCCTGGTCTGATATACTGCAGGGAAGACTTTTTGGCAGGCGGTGGCTCTCAGGCGTTGAAGGGAGCTCTGTTGAGAATTCCCGCCTCTCCGGGTGCGTTATGCGGCTTATATCGACGAGTCCATGCCTATAGTCAATAATAGGCGTGCTTCGTCTGTTTTGTATTTGCCAGTAAGCTATTATTGATACAGGTACGCGAGATTGCCATTATAGCGGAAAATGGCATCTCTCGCTGTGACTGGGCCCGACAAAGTCGACGGCTGCGGGGAGACTCGAGAGTCAAATTCCAAGAGGCAAATCAGAAGCCAAGTCGGGGTATCACGAGAGGACAGAAGACTTGGTTCCTGAGTGGCAAAGGCCAGATGCAGGCTCAATGACATGCCCATGTGAACAAGGGGCTTCTGCGAGTCACAACCAACAGACAGAAGCGGCGACAAGAGGATCAATGAACATGAGCATGGGCGAGACGGGAGTGACAAGGAGTGATAGGGTGTGATGGACTAGGGTGCGTTGTGTCTAGTGGAGAAAATCAGCGGAGAGGGGAGAAGGGCCGAGAGGCCAGTCATAGCGCGAGGACGGCTTGTGTCTTGTCTGAGTGCTTTTTGGCGACGGCTCAAGAGCACTGTGAGAGAGGCTACTGGCTGCAGTCTGTCGAATAGATCTTGGCCTCTCGCAATGGCTTGAGACCAACACAAGATGATCAGCCTTAACAGGCGTTGATATTGATGCTCCAGAATCAGCCACATAACCCAATTCTAGCGACTGGGTGATGAGAAGCGGATGAGCGGGAGCGTTAGGGAAGTCTAATG